GGTGGATGAGTTCTCGGAGTGCGGTAATCGTTGCGTGTGAAGGAGGGCGACGAAGACGGAGGCAGAGGTGGAGCAGCGTGTCTGTGTCTTCTCGGTGCGTTTAATCTCTACGGCTGCGGGTCCTTGCGTTACGGTATCGCATCTCATCGGCGCTGCGCCTGCGCCTCATGTCAATGGGCCTGTTGCATGCAAGAGATACAGCCGCGCGAATAGACTTTTTAGAGGTTAAATGACACGAAAATTACGATGGTCACATTAAAAAAGTCTGAAATACACTCCTTGCTGCGCAATTTGCGTTGTTAGGAATGCGCTTTTTCAAATTTCCCGCGGCTGGGGGCAGTTTTCTAACGGAAACAATTAACGGCAACTCGCGGCTATTTCCGGTCAACTCAAAGACATAAAGACGGAGTGCTCGTATCTAAAAGCACGGGGAAAAAGTGAAGCCTGGTTTGGCGCTGGGTGTTTGTGTGAGTGTGTAAATGAGCGCGGGAATCCATGGCGGCAAACGGAAATTTGATTTGAACTTGTCCTCTTAATTTTTCCATATTTCTTCTTCGAAACGTATTTTAAATGCCTAAAACGAATATATTAAGAAAGTTGGGACTGCGTCCTATTATATTACACCTACTCTTGCTTGGTAATAGGCAGTAATCTCAGATAAAGTTAGTTTTTCTTCTGCTCATGGTGGTTCTGCAGGTTCAAACAGGTCGTTACAGTTCTAGATGACCGTCACTCCCAAATGAAATTAATCGGTCGACGACGGACTGAAACTAACCTAAAGTTAAAAAAATATGAGTGTGTACCTGAATTTGGGCAAAAATCAACCTAAAATACTTTGTTTCCGCAATTTTATTTATTAGTTCCCGCCCTACATTTGAATTCAAACTTGTCCCGATTTCGCCGCCAATCCTCTAGCCAATCGTAGAGGTGGTTGAAAAGAAGCTTCATTTTTTGCTTTTAGCCCTCCGTCTTTATGTCTTTGGTTACGGCATCGCATCTCATCGGCGCTGCGCCTGCGCCTCATGTCAATTCGAGCGTGACACCCACGATTGCACACGCCGCAGACGCTGCGCGCTGCTCCGGCCGGCGCTGGCTGTGTGTCAGTAGGTGGGCGTGGGTGATGAGTCTCTCAATGGGAGCGATAACGAGAGCGACCAGCCGGCGCTAGAATTCCGCATGAGCTCCATGCTCTATGCAGATACCGCATGCGCCGCGCCGCAGAGTCCGTCCAGACTCGCCAGAGGCTCAGGCTCACGTAGGGAGAGAATGCACGGGAAAAAATCTCCATTCTAAGAACTTCAACAGGGTGCTAAGTCCGGAAATTCCGGCAAGTCTGGAAATAGTACCGATTTTTTGAGGGGGGTCCGGAAGTACTGAAAAAGTGCGGAAATTCCTCAAAAGGTCCGGAATTTTTTTCATTTTTTTTGTCATTTTTGTCTCAGTTTGAGCGAAAAATTCAAATCTTTGCAATTTTCGGAGTTTCGTCAAATGGAGGTACTGAAAAAGTACTGAATTTTTTGGGAATGTACTGAAAAAGTATTGTAAAATTACTGATTTTTGGCCCGTCTGTTTTAGTAGACACAGCGGATCTAGCAATTTGGCAACAAAGGATTTCCTCCATTTAAACCTATGTTAAATAATCGACTCTGGTTAGAGCACCAGACCCCTCTAAAAATCGATAGTTCTCCAGGAGTTTAAAAGGAGAATAAACGATGTTGTCAATTTTCTAGATCCGTCAATGCTAGGAACCGAACAGTTCTTTAGGTGCTTTTCGGTCAGAGGACTGATCCTCCAGTCGAGAGTGCCGATTGTGTCAATCGAAAGAACCGACTGATGAACCGAAGTCTCACAATCAGCTCATCAATGCGAGAAAAATTGATTTATATTCGTATAGAACTGCATCAAAAAGACGGGCACCCAGTGACATTACAGCAGATCTCTCTGAAGATAGTGGTATCTGCGCGCAGATTTTGGAAACCACCTTGGTTAACGCATAACCAAAGAAAAAAGAAAAAAATAGAACTGCAGGGTTGCCACGCTCGGGCAATACCGAAAAAACCGGGACATGACAGGAAATAAAAACAGGGTTGTCACAGTCAATGAAAACCGGTAAATGTTAGGGCATTTTAAAAAGTCAGGGAAAATGACGAAAATCACGAAAATGTGTGGAAAATTTGAATGAATGAGATTTTTTATTTTATCTTCTTTAATGAAGTTGATTCCGTTGATTTTATCGTACTATTTATTTTCTATCTCAAGATTTTTCTTCGCTACAGTTAGTTGAACAGTTTTTGGAAGTCTAATATAATATTGTTGCTTTCTAGAATGAGTTTGAGATTTTGAACAAGAAATTTTGCCTGGAAACTATTTTCAATTATGCCTTCTTAACCATCCGTCAGATCTTCAACTGTCAGGGAATTTCACCAAAATGTGTCAGGGAAATCAGGAAAATGTCAGGGAATTTCATTTACCAAATTCTGTGGCAACCGTGTTAAAAGTCAGTGGAAATCTTGAAATGTCAAGGAAAAATTATTAAGTCATCGTCACTGCATATCAACATAGCAAAATTTCCACTCGTAAATTTATCATTACTCGTATTTACTCGTATACTCGTATTTTTACCAGAAGCCTGTGGGGTGTATTCAATTGACTGATTTTCTCTCCGATTGTCGGCAAACTCAGCAAAATTTTGGACAAACGTTGCATAATCATATGCTCGTAAACAAATGTAGTCCACGTGTGTAACGACGATTTGTAAAAGAAACCTAGGAAAGTCGAGGAACTCCAGTTTTAAATTTTTATGGCCGCAAGGTACAACACTGTGCATAAAATAATTAAAAGTCGGGGATTCAAAGAGTTTGAAACGGTGTTTGATGTCAACATAAACGTCTCATTCATATTAAATATGACACTATTAATTGAGTAATGAGCACCTCGACTCGGACTCGACCGAAAAATGCCGTCTCATCCATAACGATCGAAACGGGTGTTACGTATCCATGCACCGACTTGAGGAGCCGAGTTCTGGACTGCTAAGACCTTGCTTATGCCTTCGCTAATTAGTTGGGCTCATACGTAACAGGCGTATTTATAGAGAGCGAGTCTGCAAACCACCACCCCCCCCCCCCCCCCCCCCNAACCGCCGACCCCACGGTCCCCAGCGTGGGCGCCCGCTCCTGCCAGCGCGAGTGTTGGGCGAGAGCGGAACATAGGGTCCCGGCAAGACCCGCGCGTGCCGCAAAAAACACGGAAAAATGAAATTGCTGATTTTATAGCAATTTTGTAACAATTTTGCAGTTAAAAAAAGTGTCCGACTTGTTCCAATGTAGATGTTACATTAAATAAATGCAAATTTAACCTCCCCCGTTGTAAAATGCACATTTTTGAAGCATGTCTGACATATTCTTGAACAATAACTTAATTGGTAAATCAGCAATCCATTTTTTTCGGTGAAGATGGCCGAAACGAACGGATATTGCCAAGGCGGCAAAATTTTATGAAAAATAAGTTCTTGAAATTTCACGTGAAATATTTCATGACATTCCAGGAAATGGAAGACACCGATTTTAAAATACCGGTTCCTTTTCATGTTTCGCAAAATGTGAAAATTGTAACTTTTTTCTATATTCGTGTGTTTGAAAGGGGGTTGCATAATCTAGCCCCTAATATTTATTAGGGGCTAATATGAAATATTTCACAGCCTCGTGGAATTTCACGAAATATTTCACTGAAATATCCTACCTTTCATTTCTTTCTTACGTTTCATACCACCCTGAATATTGACTTACGAGAGGGTGTTCGGCTCTAGAAAAAATGCACGGAGACTCCTGGTAGGCACAATGGCGATTTTGCCTGTTGGCAGCACTGCTTTGCCTCCACTTAAATCCAATAAAAATATCGATCTCCGGTGAGACAAGGTGCCTTACCACGAATCGATGATTTTACAAACATTTTGGTTTTTGTTAGGTGCATTCTTGAACTCTTCGGTTTTTTTCCCATATTGATCAAGAGAGGAACGGAATTCGGCTTCTTGAAACGTGAATGATAGATCCACACTGTCGTGCTAAAGAAAAACGCCGTATAAGCCTTCAGGCGTCGCAAATTTTCCTTCGATAGGTAAATCGCGAATTTTCAGGAAAATTTGTGAATATTTTTCTTCCAATTTTTTAGAGAGTTTCGTTTGTAATTTTATCTAAAGTGTCGGAAAATTTCAAGGAAAAATATTGATAACTTTTCTCAAAAATCAATAATTTTTAGAGGAAATTTGGCAACATTCGAATGCTCATAAGTACAGCGTTTTCCCTTGGCGCGGAAGCACAGGAACGCGAATGTCTCGTATAAAGAGCGTCTAACATGCATCAAATGAGATTGAAAAACTAGACTTCAAGCCTTTTCAGAAGTAACTGTTTCAATCATTGTACCGGATACCTCAGATGTCAACAGTCTCGCGAAATTAAGATAATATTATGATCGGGCCGGTTGTTATCGTGGTCTTGGTGTTCTATCCTAACCTGATCCAGAATGAAACTACATTGCGCGTGTACCTATTCGGCCGTGCTGAGGCATAACGCCGCTGCCGTATTAACCTCCTTTAGTTGCATATTTCCCCTGATAAAATACGAATTTTCTGGAAAATTTGTGAATGTCTTCCGTCCAATTTTTTAGAGAATTTTCCTCGTAATGAGATCTAAATTATCCGAAAATTTCAGGAGAAAACATTCATAACTCTCCTAAAAAATACATGTTTTACACGCGGAAATTTGGCAACTCTCGAATGTTCATACGGCGTTTTTCCTTAGCACTGCGGTATTCGTACACGGCTCTCTCCCGAGCACACGATTCTGGACGTGTTTTTTTCGGAAGTGGAGGGACTTTCCCTTGTTTGCGTTGCGCAAGCGCGAGGAAAGGGCCCTCGGCCCTGAGGCCCTCACGCGAGGCGAGGCCCAGGTGCGCCAACGTCATTAGTGACGTCATTAATGGGTCTACGGTTTCTGTTGCAGGCGTCGACGATCGACGGGCGACGCAAAGGAGCCTGCCTCTTCTGCCAGGAGTACTTCATGGACCTCTTCCTTCTGGCCGAGCTCAAAACAATCAGTCTCAAAGTAACCACAGTCGACATGCAGAAACCCCCGCCAGATTTCAGGTGAGTAAATTAGCCATTTCAAGGTGGGCATGGAATTTTAAGACCGGAATTGCTAATGATTGCCAAAGTTAGGCCTTTGCAAGCATGCATTTTCTTATTCAGGGTACGCCAGATTCTGCGATTCAAATTACCAGTGTATACGCTCTTTTGCATTGTGCGATAGTGGTTTTTCCCCTTAAACAACGAAAATTTTCCAAGTTATTAACACTAAAATCAAGCATGATTACAGACATTTTCACCAAAAATAAGCGCATTGATGGTATTTCGCACTTTAAATGTTTTTATTGATTACTATTTATATTAACAAACATCGATAGCCAAAGTACAAAACATCCATTGCGATGTTTCAAAATTTCCGCTCCTATTTGATTCCTTTAAAGAGAATCAAGCCAACTTTACAGATTTAAATTACCACAGAATATTCTCCTGACAGAGAGTGAAAATCGAGAAAATTTGCAAGAAATTACATTGAGCAGCTTTTCAAAGAGAAAATGAAAAACGTAAGACCCTGCAATGTCGCACACGGAGATCCGTGGTTTCGCTCTTTGGCCATCGATGTGCAAATAAAGAGGAAAAGGTTAGTTGGATTTTATGCAGTGCTTTAATTTTGTATCGAAGTAAATGACAAACGGTCCATGTAGAGTGTACCCGTGTAAAAAACTTTAAAATCACGACTTGAAAAACGCTGCGCGAGTTCAAATGATCGCTCTAAAGACTGCAGTCGGCGTGGCTCGCATGTTAGCGCCTACAAGACTGCATGAATACTTCACGCATTGCGCGCACTCCACGGTGCGGCGTGCGGCAGTTGCGGCACGGTACGCCGTGCGCGCTGTTAGTGCCTGCAAGACTGCGTGGATACTTCACGCATTGCGCGCATGCCACCGTGCGCACTTCAATCGTCACGTGGTCCCGTTTCCCATGAGTTAACAACACGCAACAGCTAAACCGTTTCTTTAACGTTGCCTGAGCGCCTCATGGCGTTCGGTGGCCTAAATTCATAGCTCTATTGATTTTGGTATTCTGCGGATTCCTATGTAAATAGACTAATTTTGTCACAGCAAAGAACTACTGAAACTTTTTGCCTCCCTGAATTTAAAAATCTAAATTTTTTGTTTACACACCCATCTTCCAAATTCTTTGTAAAGACGTTAGTAGCCTAGGATGCTGAATGTTTATAAATTAAATAACTAACTGACTATATGTAGGATCTTTGCATCTGAATTTTCAAATCTATCTGCAGTCTCCTCTAAGGCCTGGATACACGCTCAAACCGTCAATTTTCGACCAAAATGATGACAAAAATGGCGATCGAGAGTTATCTAGATTTATGGGTAAAATTAATCAAAACAGCGTGTTGATTTAAATAAGCATGAAATAAGCACAGTTGTGTGGAAATCAGATGACGGATGAGACCCACAGATCCTTCACCATCCAATTTTTGCTAGCCGCAAAAAATTGATGGTAGATGGTACGCACCAGTCACCATTTGATCGGAAATTTATGGAAATTTGAGCGTGCATCCAGGCCTTACTGCCATGCGTAGGAAGAACCATGCAGTGCTGCCATTTCCTGGAATTAATTCCAAAATTCGGAACTTTTCCCGGAATTTTCGGCTATTTTCGGAATTTCCCCGAAATTTGCAGTTTTTCACCAGTTCGACCATTTTTTTACATCATAACTTCGGGACTTTTTTTTTTTTTTTTTTTTTTTTTTTTTTTTTAAATCAAATTTGATGATCTTCGGAACTTAATCCGGGCGTATTTCGGAATTTTCCCCTGGAATTTTTGAAAAAATCGGATTTTTTCTCGGAACCTCGGCAAGTCGGAATACGTTTCCGGAAATCAGAATTATTTCGGAATCTTTCGATGAAATAAAATGGCAGAAATGGGGAGAACACCGTATGAGCCTTCAGACGTTGCCAAATGTTCTTCGACAAATCGTGAATCTTCGGGAAAATTTGCAAATGTTTTTCATTCAATTTTTTTTAGAGAATTTTATTCGTAATTTGGTCTAAATAGTCTGAACACCTAGAGAAAAATAATGCATAACTTTCCTCAAAAATTACAATATCCTCTGAGAGAAAGTATAGCAACTTTCGAATGATCATACGGCGTTTTTTCCTAGCATGGTAGTCTAGACTCTAGAGGTATCCTCGGAGCCTTAAGCAACGCTTCTTAAGGGTTACTAGTTCTTGAAAAGTCATTGGAACCCTGGGAAATTCGGGGAATTTTGTCGAACCCTGAAAATTTAAGGCATGCTCTTAAGGAGCCTTGAAATTCTTGCTTCATCCGAAAAATGTATTTATCTTACACTGAACTGTTTCACTTTTTCTCTCGACAAAAATAAGGAAAGGCATACTATGGAACCTTGGCATTTTTCCTTTCAGCCAATACATCGCATTTTTCAACTTCTGAAGGCTTCACCTGAAAAATTTTTCGTGGAAAAAATTTGTATCATAAATTATACCTCCCCCTCCCCCAATAAAAACCCTTGAAAGTTCAAGGATCTTTTTGTTGCAAAGCCCCGAAAAGTCAGGGAAATTCAATTAAACGTGTCACCGTGTATCAGCCTAGATGGGCACTGATTGACACTCCGTCAGTGTTACTCACCATAATTTTGACAAAGACTGGCATCAGTTTTATTCGCACTAGCCTCATTTTTCTTTATACCGGGTATTCAAGTGTAATGTTGCATTAACCCACGTGACAGATTTGTTCCGAAGACAATAGACTACGAGACGGGATAAGCACCACAGGATATGCTCTGCTTATCAAAATTATAATGCAGAACACATTAAATGTACTAAAAATACCGAAAATCAGCACACAAAAGGGAGATTAGCGTTTATTCTTTAGATTAGAGTTAGATCATATAAACTGTCCTCTTGCGGGGAAAAAACCCGAGCTCAACTTAAAATTTGATCGTCGAAAACTAACTTTATCATCCGGCTACTAATTCGACTTATACTTCATAAACTTTTTTTCCTTCCTCTGATGCATTGAAACTTTATACTGAACGCTTGGCGGACCCCCCTCCCCCCCCTTAAGATTTCAAAAATTGTGGAAAATGTTGAATACAGGTATATCTGAATATTTGAGGCAGCATTAACGATAGTGTGACAATCAAAAACTTCGAAGAAAAGAGGATGATACATTTTGGATTTTCTGTGTTTTTTCTAATAGAGTGGGTTACATAATGCTGGCTTTGACCACTCTCACCCCCTGTAACGCAGCGTAACGCAGGTTCATACCCCCTGCTCCTAGAGCGTTACTTAATTTATGAACGCTCCCTAAGGAAAAATTACTTCATTGTACAGTACTGGTGAAATAATTTGAGTGTCCAATTCGATTCTGAATTTAGTAGATATTTTAGCAACACCAGTATTAATAATTGATTTTAGGATTCAGCCAAGGTATGTTGGATTTGAATTCGATGCACATGCAACACCTTGGCTAAATCCAAAAACCTATTATATGTAATTTGATTCTATTTGCGCTGATATCTCACAAGGTGTCCTGGTGTCCAACGTTTTTTATATTTCAAAACGTGCCATTATTCTTTGCTGAGGTGGAAAACTTGTAAGGCAAGTGCGTTTGGAATAGCAATTAGTTGATGACATTGCTGACAGGAGGCGGTGAGATAGCGTAAACGAGTGACGTCAGTGCGTTGTGCACAGCCGAGCGGGAGGTACAGTTGCTCGGAGCCGGATTGATTTATGAAAACTCTGCAACCTGTTGGAGTGTTACTAACTAACAATAGAGCATATTTTATGCGAATTGGCGCACGGAGCCTTGGGAATATTCTCTCGGAAAACGCGCATGCTGGACCTTGAGAGTGAGTTGAAAATGGCCAGCTTCTACCGACCCGACAGCAACGTCAAGGACTCTCGCACTTTTTACCCGATCCCTGAAATCCACAGCCGTTGAAAAAAACGTGAAAAATACCGAAAATTCTGAAAATATCGTCGCTTTACTGATGGCGTAAGGGCGTATCTCGATTTCTGGATGAGTCCCAGAAAGCATGAATTCTTACATAAAACAGGGCTCACGTAAATATTGAGATACGCCCTCACGTCAGCGGAAAGACGGTATGTGACCGTTCGCAGGAAGAAGGACCTCATTTTTGTGGTGACACAATTTTCAATCGAGCTGTTTTTGTCGAGGTGAGACGAAGATTCGGATTTTGGGATTTCGATCGAAAATATACTCTGTAGTGTACTACTAAACACGTCGCACGTGACTTATTTCGTATTTTGCGCCAACAGCGGGCGCAAAGTAGCATTAAAATTCGGTAATTTCGCAACCAAAACATGGCTAATTCATTTCGATTGATTTTTCTTCATAACCACAGTTTTTTAACCGCCAAGTTCAAACCTCTATCATTTCGGTTTGGTCTGATTTTTGGATTTTTTGGACTTTTTTGTCGCAAAATGTTCGCAGAACTTTCCCTGTGTCCTGATGTTATTCTTTTGCTTTTGAATTTTGGTAGACCAGGATCCCTTTTCCCGCGAACAGTCACATATTTGCAATTAGGAAGATTAAAATAATCATACCTCTGCTTCTAATTCAGGTACTTCCATAAGCCAATGAATTATCTCACTTGAAGATTGACTAATCTCATCGAATTTTTGTGTTCTCAGGACCAACTTTGAAGCAACCCATCCTCCAATCCTAATCGACAACGGCTTAGCGGTCCTGGAAAACGAAAAAATCGAACGACACATCATGAAGAATGTTCCTGGCGGTCACAATCTATTCGTTCAAGACAAACAAGTTGCCACCCTCATTGAAAACCTCTACAGTGTGAGGAATACTTCTTCTGCCTTTGAGATTCACCCCGAAGTCTGATCGTGATTGAACTAATATTCAATTCATCTTTTTGATACTGTCAAAAATCTGAGAGAGTGTAGGGTCCAAAAATCTTGGGAAATGTTAGTGTGGAAAAAGATGATATTCCTCACACATGCGTCTAAAAATTATTTTCTATTCAGAACATTACGGAGGAAATTGAAACGAATTTTTCCAAGATTTCTGTACAAGAAATGGATCGTAATTGAATTCAGGCATCAAATGCGTAACCTATTTCTCAGACTTATACTTTTTTATCTCTTAAGTTGAATCCAGTCCTCGAACTTCGCGATTTGGCCACCGCGTCACGCTGCTCAAAATAGCCGTATATATTTGCCAAAGTAATAAAAACCGTAATACTTACTCAAGAATAGGGATCCAGGGGATATAGCAACACACTTGAGGCACACTCAGTTAAAAAATCTTCTCAAAATTCCCGAAAATAAAGTCGTAACTACGGCGGAAAGTAATGCCCATTGCGGCAATGGGAGAGAGAGACACAGAACATGGAGGATTTCGCAGCGCGCTCGGCCGCCGCCGCTGACGATGAGCTGACAGTTTCAGCCGTACTTTCTCTGCGCTTGTAATTCTAATTGCCAATATTTTTGGCTCAAAAATTGAAGCAAAAAATAATCTTTATTTTGTAGATCTGCGTTTTGTAATTTTAACAATATTATTTCTGTAATCGTCAAAGAAAAGTGAAATTCTCAGTGGTGACTGGTGGCACTATCTCTAATCTTGAATTATCTCTAATGGAACCCTGGATTCACTTTAATATTTCAATTTTATTGCTCTGTCCTAGAGTACCTGTACTCTGTCCTAATGATTCTGTCGACTCATGTGCAGAGATTGTAGTCTTCACATACGAGGGTCATCCCGAAAGTCGTGCGCGTTTTGCTCTCATTTGGAAACTATTAAAGATAGGGCAAATCGATTAGATACGCATATAAGGCATACTTTCAGCTTCAATTCAAGCTCAAGTTTTTAAAAATCGGACGAACAGGACTCTCAAGAGGTCATTTCTCCCGCAGCGCCTTCGATGCGTTTCCCGCAACCTCCAGGCGCGCGACAATCCAGCATTTTTGGAACCCTTCTGGGATGTATTTTTTTTTTTAATTCAACCATTCATGAACGATTTGATGCGCGACAGATCGGGAAATTACAGGAAAATATTCGAGCATTTTGTCAGGTGCCATTCGACGATCTCTGCGGATAAAAGTGTCTACTCATTGCACCAAGTCACTATCGATCACCATTGGCCTGCCATCTCGGGCCTCATCGTGCACTTCTGTTCCTCTCCGCAAAACGATTGGCTCAACCTCCGGACATGTCCATCGTTCGTCGCGTTTTCCCCATGAACTGCTTGAAGTCTGCGAATAATGTCACATAGCTTAACACCTTCTAAAGTCAAAAACCGTCCGGTGTATGCAGCTGAAAGTAGAGTTTCCCCTTTGTTTGAACGTACTGAAACCATGGATGGTATCTGATGCTCCCAATATGTATATCTCTCGTTTTTTATAATTTTATATCGTTTTTCAGGAACAAATGTCTCTTCAAACTTCAAAATAATCTGAAGCAAAAGAATGACTTACAATTTTTTCTACACTCATAATTACCTTTTCCTAATATTATGTAAGTACAGGGTTGCCACAGCCACGGAATACCGGGAAATGTCAGGGAACTTTAAAAAGTCAAGGAAAACCTGGAATTGTCAGGGAAAATGACGAAAATGTCGAGGTAAAATTGTCAAGTCGCCTTAATCAGCTTTCTTGACTGGGTTTGACTTTCAAACAATAGATTTTGCGTGAAAACTATTTGAAATTATTTCTTTTCAACCATCTGGCATATCTTTAATTGGCAGAAAATTTTATCAATTTGTGACTGGGAAATCAGGGAAATGTCAGGGAATTTAATTTTCTTCATTCTGTGGAAATCCTGAAGTAAATTTCTTAAATTCTGATGTACTTTTTTCTCATGTGCAGAGACTAAAGCTGATGTTACTGAAGAAAGATGATAGCTCCACGAACGCCTTACTATCCCACTTGCGCAAAATCGATGAACACCTAGGCAAAACTGGAACAAGGTTTTTGACTGGTGACACCATGTGTTGTTTTGATTGCGAACTGATGCCTCGCTTACAGCATATTAGAGTTGCAGGTAACTGAATCTATTTTTCGTAAATGCTCGCTTTTACTCTGCAAGAAGTCCATCACGTAAGTTTTGCATGGAACCCGAGATGATTTAAACAGTCCTCTAAAATGAATTCTTGTCGTAATGAGGTTGGAATGCAGTATTCAGGAAAACCAGATCTGCCTGTACAAATGTCTGGTTTGAAGTAGTTTCCTATTTGATATCAAATCTTTTTAGAAGCCATCAAAGGAAATCGAACATTGAGGGGAATCTCTTTTTCTCTACGTTGTCCCCTATCTTTTTTTAATGAAAACCAAGTGTCAAGTGTCACGAGTCAAATTCCAGAATTAATATCTTTAAGATAGTCAGATGCATCATCTATCATGTTAAGCACCTTTCTGTCAAGTTAACCTGAATACTCTCAGGTGTTATTTTTTTACAGCAAAGGCGCAAAAAGAAAGCAAAATAACACATATTTAAAACTATGTACTTTTCAAAGAAGAGCGTCTTAGACGCCATGGTGGCAGTATGCAAGTTGTCAAAATATTTGAAAGCTAAATCTATTTCATAGGGATCAAAGTCTCACAGCTGCCATGATTCGCTGAAATCAACTCCAAGACTTAGCTCAATGATTTTACTGTGTTCTTACCTTTGATGTACAGTATCTTAAATCACTTGAGAAAGGTCCTTTTTTCGAGTTTTAATAATAAAATCAATTTATATTATGAAATAATAACTTTATAGTCAGAGATTTTCTTTCAACCTCTTTAAAATTAACAAGACATTTCTTAATCAGTTCATCCCTGACTGTTGCAGGCAAATACTTTATGGAATTCGAAATCCCAACCAGTCTAACGTATCTGTGGCGCTATATGCTGCATATGTACCAGTTGGATGCCTTCACACAAAGTTGTCCAGCAGATCAAGATATTATCAATCATTACAAACTTCAACAAGTAAGTATAGTCAAATAGGTCTCCCTTAAATGGTTCGCTCCCTCATTAATGGCAGTGTAACACCACCTTAGAGTTAAGGACCTTGCATGGGATACCAAGAAATCTGCGCCGACAAAATTTGGATACAGTAAAAATGTTGCCACATCTGATTGGTGATCAAATATAGCTTTTGTTTCCTTGCAGGCCAGCAAGATAAGGCAGAGGATAAGAATCAAATTTATCCGATTGATAACAGCATGTCCTGCAGCATTAACACAGGCATAGCAACAGCTCCAGATTTCCATTAGGAAACGCGAGTAAGAAGGCTAAAAAATTCACTTTTCAGCCCTGCTTTACGGGACTTCAATATACAACAAGTTAAATTTTATATTCTCTTATTCAGGAGGCTGTAAGGAAAAGCATGTAAAAAAAATACTGAAATGTAGCCGGCATGGAATTTCTTGGTATTCGGTTCATAGTCCATTAAAAAATTAAGTGTACGATAATTTAGATTGTCTGTTACATGTTGTTATTTTTGCATTTTCTGTGGAGTTACGTGTATGGTGAAACAAGATCATTGACTTGTAAGGTAGGGACCCTTTGCCTAGCTGGGGGAACGCTTGCATCCTTGAACGATTTAATTTTATCAAATGGGAAACAAAGTCTGATTTGATTTCCCCGTTCAGTAGAATTAAAGATTTGTCATTCCGAAACTCAACCATGCCTAGGCCAGGCAGGGCCCTTGTGAACTGTAGGGTCATCTGGTATGCAGTCCTCAATAGATTCGGCACTAACAACAAGTATCAGCTGAGTGAGTTCTTCGTTACCGCTCAAGCAACTAAAGAGTCTGGGAAGAGAGGAGGATGCAATGAGTTCAAAGCTTCTATTTTCACTCCTTTGACAGCTACTCTTAACTGAACCCTTCCCACAGTCAATTAATTTTTTTGCAGTTTTTTGGGGACGAATAAAACATTTTATGTAAAATGCAAATAAATTACCCAACTGTTGAAAAAACTTTGAAGTTAAAAAAATGCTCAAATTTCTAGAGAGCTATCCCCATGAATGTCCTGTAGTACAATTCTTAATTTACCCCAAAGTTTTTAATTATATAGACTGATTCAGACCTAAGTCACAAGCAAGATTTGAATTTTCAATTTGTAATGGTTTATAACCATCGGTAGGTTAAAAGAGGATATCTTGGTCTGATGCAATTTTGGATGTATGGTTGATAATTCGTTTCAATTACATTAAATTAGATCCAAACACTAAAATATCCTCCTTTCATGCTTTTATTTGGAACTTTCCAATGTCCACCCAGAGTTCTTAGTATCATCCTGTGCTTGTGTCTGAGGATTAGTCTATCTCTTGGGATGGAATTATTGATAATTTACTTTGCTCTCTTTTTCAGGGGATGAAAATGAAAAAACATGAAGAGTTGGAAACGCCCACATTCACTACATCAATTCCAATCGATATTTCAGCCTCAGATTAAACACTGTTACCCCATTGAACGTGTGAATCGTTTACGTATTTTGTTTTTTTCTTGAGTTAAAGCTTCTACTTCATGGTGTCCACAGTCTGTACATTTTTTATCATCGTGGAGACTTTTGCATAATTGATTTCTCTCTTGCCTCTTCAGGCGTTCAATAAGAATGTACCTCTTATCTTTGCCATCTGTTAAGTGTGCACAGTGAAATTTTGCGATAGCAAAGTTTTTCTTCTGGTAGCTGAAGTTCAGTGTTTCCTCCAAAAGTATTTGTAATATCCCATTTTTTTTTGTCTTGTCTTGTGTATTAATGATCAGGTGTCATGTTGAAGCATTTAGGTATGCATTTTACTTTTTTATTCCAATCTTAATTTATTTAGGGGAAGATAATTTATAATTTTAACTTTCTCTGTAGTAGACTGATTTAGTGACTATCATAGTATGATAAGTTGATAGCACCTAAGGGAACCAAAAATGGAGGAAACTTCAAAATTTGATTTCCTATTCCTACTGTATTTTGAGTAAAACTGATGTGTTCTCAGATCTTTTTGTGTCTCTCAATACCTTTGATGGTACTCAAATTTGGTCGGTCGCTAAAGAGTTTCAAAAAGTGTAGATTCGTGAATAAGATTTTGGTGCGTTTACTTCTTATCAAATGGACGTATTTATGCTAAAAATAATTATCTGCATGAGGTTTGCATGAGATTCTTTTAGCATAAATACTTCCAAATCTGTGGTGTCTCACTTAATTAGTCGATTGATTTGAAGAGATTTGGTTACAAAAAAGATTGTTTCCTCTTTTCCTTTCAAGAACCAAAGAGACAGTTAAAACCCTTGCAGCTTCCAGTATGAAAAATTGTTCACAATCTTTCTCTTCCACATCAGTAGCTTTAGTCTTCTACCTTTAAAAAGAAATTTGTTCGCACTCCTGATTATTATTTTGTACCTCTTTTCTTCAAGAAAGTAACTTTATCACAATGGGTCAGAGGCACACATTTATTTAGAATTGATTTTCATAAAGAATGGAATGAATAAAGGAATGGTTTAACAAACTTTTTTAACCCTAAGTGACCAAGAACTCTGCTTTGAAAGTGCCAAAAATGAGACTCATTTGTAACAATATTTTTAGCCGGCTCAAGTGACGTAGCCAGGCGGGGAAAATAGCACTCACTGATTGTCTGAACTCAACTCCAGACATCGCCTTGCTTTGTCAACTCGACTCTTGCCTGTTCATCGGTCAAATTCTGATTAGTTTCTTCCCTTTAAAATGATATTTTGAACTTTCAATGAGCTTTTCAGTTTTTTCAAAAAATTTAAAATGGGGAATTATAATTTGTAATACAATCCTGTTAAAATTCCTCGCCACTGCCCTATTTTTGATAACAAAGTAAGAATCATCAAGTTATTTTATGAATAACTACGTCTTTAAGTTTTTCATAAAGTTATACACTATAATGTAAGTCTTCGAATGGCTGTAAAATGTCCGGTTCCAAGTTTTACAAATTTTTGGTTTTTCCTCCAATTTTCTTGATAATGTAATAATATCAAACCCCTTCATTGATTTGGATTATAGAATAAAAGTACTAGGTGTGAATAGTCTATTTAAATTAACATCTTCACAAAATTTACTCTTGGCGGGGCCTAATTTCTTATTTCCCTCTTGAGTTTCAAAGTATTTTAAGTTGAGTTCGAAAGTTCGCAGTAGAAGTCTTCAAGTTCTTTGTATTACTCTGTACAATTTTCTCAACTTTTCGAGGAATAAGTAATCATTGACACTTCTAAATTCATTGTATAACTGAACATCCAGCCCATTGAATTGATGTGTTCGCAAGATAAAAGGAAACATGAATGCATTGAATGTGTTAGAAAGCACTTAAGGATCCTTCATTGATGTTTTCGGCAAGGATAGGAAACCAAAACAAGCCAAGATCCAAAAAAGAGTGCAAACCATCTAGCTTTTAATCATTTAATTTTCAAATAAATTTGTTGAGTATTTATTTTTGTATGTTGATGCCTAATTTATTTTTATTCGATGAAATAATTTTTAATTTATTCTTACTTTCTGTAGTTAGTTTTCCTAAGAAAAGTTGAACTGTTGTTGATTTCAATGTAACTATGCCTTTTTTGCAACTAAATTTAGTTTCGTAGTCAAACTAGTATTCCAATACACTCTGCCTGTAGTTATGCAGCTGATAAAGTCGTAATGCATCAGTATTTTGAGTGTCCATCTTTTAGTGGATAGGTGTTTTTGTCTGGAGTATTTTTTGGTTCTCTTGAGCTTTTTTGAATTATGCGCCTGGTTATGTCGTTCTTATTATGAAATTTTCAAGCATTATTGGAGCTACCAAACCAAATTTATTTTTGAATACTTCGTAAATCTCTGCAAATGTTTTGGAAACATTTAAGGTCAATATTCTGAGGTAAAAAACTTCAAGGTTTTTCATTCTATAATAAACTGAATATTGATGGAAATTTTTTTTTTCCAATTGATTCTGAGTTAAAAAGTAAAAGATAAAAATTAAATAGCGTTTTGTGAGCGTTGTAGCGGCAATCTTAATCCACATTTTGCTATTACATTTTTACTGCACCACTCATGACAAAGTGTTTCAATTTTGTTTGTGGTAGGGAAAAAAAAGCAATGCGAAAAGATACTTCATTTATTCTCAAAAAACAAGTTGAAAACAATTTTGTATAAAATAGTTTTTCATAACTTGGGGTTTTCGGATAGTGGTCATTTTAGCTTGACAGCATTCAATTAAAACCAGGTTATCATCTTGCATAATATTATGTGTAATCTTATTATAGAATCAATTGTAAGTTTATTGCAGATGCAACTAGAAAATTATCACTCTCAGAAAGCTTCCTGTAAAGATATCAAGAGAATCAAGTCTCCTTTTTCTCTTTTCTTTCTTTCCTACCATATTTTTTTTTCCTTCTGGTTTTTCATTTGTCTACCCTTGAAAAAAACACAGAAATATAACTGCGTTATAAGATCACCATGCTTTATGTTTGCCTCAAGCTTTGGTGTGATTTTGTTCAGATTCGCATTTAGTCCGTCCAGGAGCGTAGAGGTTATTTGATGTAGTAACTGGGCAACCAAAGAAAATCATACTATTGTGAATTACTTACATACTATTCATAACTACATCATATACATCATAGCTAATTCTGAGGGTAGTTGTAAATAATTATAAGGCTACACAAACTTTTCTCTGACAATATGCAGCTTATAAAACCTGTAAATCAATATTATGGACTGATTTTTACGCAGTTCATTGTCGATGAGCAGTCTGTAGAAACTGATGTTGAGCATATAAACTTGTAAACTGAGGTCACCTTTTCTAAGGCTATCAAACATATTCTTGGTAGAAGCTATATTAGTGCCATTGTGAATTTTATTAAATCCATGATTGTGAGATAGTAACATTATTCTTAATTCTGGCTGACTTCTGTGCACCATTTTTCTGTTCAAAAATTTTTCTGAGCTTTTCTATATTTTTTATGGAAATATTTTGAGCGTTGTGAAATTTCTGAACAAATTTTTTAACTGTAATAGTGGGATCTCTTGATGAAGCCAATAGATTGGATGGGGCTTAAATTCAATATCTTTTGAGGATTTCATAAATTAAAAAGACTTGTAGTTTTTCAATCATAAAATCTTGAACTAGTAGTACCCTTTCAATGATATGTATCAGTATGGTATTCAGTTTTAAACAGAACTTTTCTGCCACCACTAGGGCCCTCCAAAGTCCTCCCTTTGCTTCCTGTAAGTGCCTTAGTAGCGAATTATTCTTTTTAATCTTGTGTTAAGTTAAATCCTGTTATTTAAAGACTTCAGAACAGTAATATGGCAACAGCAAACTCTCAGCTACAAAGTTATGTTTATCCTATTTTCAGATAGCCAAAGAAATGTTATGACCAGATTGTCATAATTTGTACTAAAAGCAACTTATTTTTTCTACGTAATGTTTTGTAGTTTACATTTTTGTGGGATAACTGAACGCGCTGAGTACTTCCCTCTTTCTTGGTACTTAAATTTGATTGATTTGCATTCCTTATTATACCGGTAACTTCATCATGAACATCCCTATTCTCCAGTTTTGAATCGCTTGTAGAGAAAAATTTTAATTTTTGCTTGAATTTTGTTTTATTTTAAGAAAACAATTAACTTTCCTGTGCATCTTGTATGATAAAATGATAAATAAATTAAATTTTAAACAAAATACTGCCTTTGATCTATTTCTTAGTCAGTTGACTATTTCACAAGGTAAGAATGAAATCACTTTAAGTTTTTTATTTTCATCAAAATTTCACAAAGGAAATGTTGAAAACATGAGATAATTCCAAAATAAACTCATAAGTAAAAAATTGGGGTTAGCATTTTACATTAAAAACATTGAATCAATCAGTATTCTCATTTTAAAAGGTAGTAGGACGTCAAACATCCCAACCAATGAAGTGGCTAAGGTGTTCAGATAAAGGGATCCTCCTTGGTGTGTACTCAACTCTGAAAAATTCTTCTATATTTTTGAATATTTTGACAGACTCAGTCTAATACAGAAAAAAGGTAGCCTGAAAATTCAGGCTCTGTGAATCTCTTGCGATGTAAGTCAAGTATTAGACTTTTAAGCTATGGTATTAGGTTTCATTGCTATCATTCAAAAAGATTGAAACATAATTCTAAAATTCACAACATTAACCAGAACCTGCCTAACCACACCAGATGTTGCATAATTATTAGTGATTTCCTCTCATTTCATATCTCTTTATAAAAAAATCAAGTAGTCTTTTGACTTCATAACCTAGAGAAAAATCATTAGTTTGGATATGAGGCTGTATGGCTTTTCTGGTAATTTAATCTACAGTCAGTATAAAGCCGGCTGTATGGATTCTTATTGATAGTCATACGAACGGTCTTTTAAAGTCTTATAGCCGGCTCTAAGAATCAATACGGATGGCCCTGTTAATTTCATAGACAGCGTAAAAAATGATACATCCGACAACGATTGAATCGCCCAATTGCTCATAATTAATCTCTCAAAAACAACAGTTATAACAAAGCAAAAGCTACCGACACAACTTAATGAATTCGTAATATTTGCGACTGGAAACTTTTCAGATTGCGATTTTGTTAGTTTGAGTGATTAAATATTACCAAAAGAAGAATAAAGTCTCAAGAAAGATGTATAATCTAAGAAGATAAGGGAAAAAGAATAGCCTAGAATAAAGGATGATGTCGACATACCGATGAATTCCAAGTATAGTTCATAGACTCAATCGAAGCCTATGGAGTGACATGAATTTGTGGTTTACAAATGAATAATTATTTGCCCTCTTGGATATGTATTTATCGCCCAAGTGGCGAGATTGAAGACGAATGTGAAGTAGCCGATAGCGGTCAATGTTAAAAGGTAAGAAAACGTATGGTCTATTCGTTCAGCAAAGTTCAAGGAAAGAGATCAATTCGTGATTTTCGAATACATAAATAGATTTGTGCTCTGCAGTAGGTATATTTGATGCTTTGTCTGATGCTTCGTCTGACCAGCTTCTCGAAAGAAAAATAAAATTTCTTAGGAAGTCTGCAACGTCGCAAAAGGAGAAACCATCGTCTCTCATTATGCCCAAAAATATGTATGTATAAAATTAAAGGCATTATGACTGGCCTCTCTCAACTTACATTCGTCTGTAACGATAAACAATGAGACGCGTTTGCTACGGCGCTTTGATACATCTATACAACCTCGACGGATGTCCGTATTGCGTTCAACAAATTGAAGGCGTTTTGACCTCCTACGCATAATACCTGTAGTTGATTCGATCGACAAACGCGTCGGTCGCCGGTGACGGGGACTTGATGCATTTTTTTAAACTTGATGGATGACCGTATCGCACCGACTGAAGAGCGAAACCACGTATCTCCATTGCGGTGTTTCAAAATTTCCGTTCTTAATTCATCTCTTCCATGAGAAACAATCCAAATTTACGACTTTAAATTTTGAACCAAATCTTCTGCTATCGAATACGAAAAATCATGGAGAATTTAGGGCGAGGGGGGCCGGGGACGTCGGCCGATCCCTATATTTTTCCCGCCGTCGGGGGACCGGGACGGTCGAGCCGGTACCATCCGCGCACGGATCGGCCTAGCGGTTCGCGCTGAATTTTGACGCAAAGAAAAGGCTTACGGAATTATATATGGTAATGATGATGATGTCATCTCATCAGTTGATATTATTTTAGGTTACTGTAATTGAACTTATCTCGAGTGCTGTCTCTATTCTTCTCTGCTGCGCTCCTTTGTCGTCGAAAAGAAAAATTATTGTAACTGCGATTTTTTCTTAACCTTCCAACTTAGTTGTTTGTAATTTACAGTGGCAACTTAGGTACTTGAACGCAATCAAAATTTCTTCTCTACGCGGCCGCCAACCACTAGAAGAAAACTGCCTTCACGTAAAAAACGTAGAACAAGAATGCTCAAATTATTAAAGAGATGAATGAATTCAAATACAGACGGATGCACCAGAAAAAAAGGGTGTTTATCCTCAATTGCAACGTCACACGCCACTTCTCATGTTTTATTTTATTTCAGGTTTTTTCTAAGAATACACGCACATTTTTTGGAGGAATTTCTGGGGATTTTTCGGAATGATCTCAAATAAAATCATCGAACGTCGCAATATTTTCGCTCGTCCTTTTTTCTTCATATTAAACCTAAATTTGTGTGTGAGTCGAGTTTCTGAATCGTTGAAATAATGATACATATTTTCCCTATAATCAATCGTAAAAACCGGGCAAAGAATCAAAAGCGCCTAACTGATTCCAATCAAAATCAGAGAAAATTTCGACCCGATATTTTCGTTCATTCCACTCCTCAAAGCGGCCGGGGAAAATTACATTTTCACCGGAAAACATACAGGATTGCAAAATGTCCACAATCCTGTGATCTTAGGACTGCAAGCTCGCGGTGTGCACTGTTCGGAAATTGTATACACCGGGGTAGGTTAGGCATCAAGAAAATACGACTTTTCATTGATTTGAGTGCACACCGTGGTATACGCGCAATGCATGAAGTATCCTGCAGCCTTGTAAGGCGCTATACTATCGGTGCGCGCATCGTACCATACGCGCAATGCATGAAGTATCCTGCGGTCTTGTAAGGCGCTACATACGCTCTGTGCAATGCGCGCCAGCCCCGCGCCACCGGCCGAACTGTTTGATGTGATTGTTCATACCTGCAGCGACAGGGGTTTTCAACTTATGATCTTATTGTTTTTGTAAAGTTTGTTGGAATTATCATTTTAAATGATACAAAATTACATAAAAACCCAACTAATTTTCTTCTCTTCGTTTCCACATTTATATAAATAATCGTAAATAAAAGCATGCAAGTGAAGTGACTTTTAATTATAGGCTCCCTCATTGCTCAACAATCCAATGGCGAGATCATTTGAACTACATTTTGCTATTCGGAACTACAATTTCTGACTCATCTGTAAAAACTATTGTGTGTATAAGGAAACTAACGGTACATACGTTGTTCCTAAACGAAGTCGGAAAGTGTGGTTCCTAATTGCAAATGAAGTTCATTTAAGTGACAAGTTTTTTTTTTAAAAAAAAAACAAAAAAAAAAACAATTTTTTTAGTCATTTCCGACGACTTTTTCCATTGGCAGACGCGTTTGACAGTCGCACCGAAGACGAGCCGCACTTTGCTCAAAACACGTCTGTCGATGGAAAAAGTCGTCGCATATGAGTGAAAAAAAATGTTTTTTAAAATACTTTTTATTTACGTGAAAACTTGTGCGGTAATCAGCTCCCTCATTTTATTTTAGAAGTTCATTTAATCTATGAACCCTTATTTCGAAGCGTAGGGTGTGGATTCGACGAAGTGGAGGGTATACATGAATTCGATCGAGAAGTAAAAACGTGAATTGATCGAGAAACTCGTGAATCAAGCGAATCGACTCCGGTTTGTTGATAATTTGTCGGTTGAATTGGTGTCGATCGGTTCACGGCCATCGGTAAGGCGGTAAAGATTTGAAAGTTTATTATTGTAACTTTTCCTGCCGATTTTTCTCTCTGAAATCTACTGTCAATATTGTCATGAGAAGGAAACGGAAAAAATTAAATTGCTGATATAACAATTTTGCATTTAAAAAAAGTGACTGCAATGTTTCAATGTAGATTGTACAATTGAAAAATGCTAAATTAATCACCCCCGTGGTTACATTAGCTTGCCACTATCTTAAAATGTGCATTTGAAACATTGTAGTCACTTTTTTAACAATTGACTCGTTAAATAAGAAATTCATTTTTTGCAGTGTATATATTATAATCTCATTTCACAATTGTTGCCATAAATGGTATACATATGTGATTTTTAGGAGTTGATTTATTTATAATCTTGAATTATTGAAAATGAAGTAAAATACCAAATTTACGAAAAACAACTTTTCTCCTGGGTAAGCACGCAATTAACTTGGTTTTTTTTTGGGGGGGGGGGGGTTTGGTTTTTTTTGGTTTATTTTTTTTGTAAAGTTATTTGAGGGTTTTAATCCATTTGAGGATTCTGCAGTTTCGAATGAGCATCGGGTTAGGGTTATCCATGCTCCAGGCTTTCAAATTTTCAGGGATTAAGGCCGAGTGGAGTCTGTCTCTGCAGATCCACTCGTCAGTTCCTTGAAAATTTGTCGCCATCACCGCGCGGGATTCGAACCCAGGATCTATCGGTCTAGAGTCCTCATATATTTTTTTCTACTTATTTTATCGTCCCTGTTATGATGGCGCCTGGCGCAATCAATCCTCAAGCGCCACCCTTAATCCGAACCTGATTATCACAATAATAGATGCTTCACCGACACGGTACAAACACTGAGATGACATTTTTCAGGAAATCATTCTGAAATAACAAGAAATCATATTTTCAGGATTTATCACAAGAAACTGTCAGTATTTTTGAAAAGGGGTCATCTCCGATTCATTGTTGGATTACATTTTGCAATAAAGAATCACAATCTCTGGCTCTTCTATAAAAACACCTTTCTGTATAGGAAACCGATGATTCATTTGTTGTTTCTAATATGAGCCAGAATAGTAGTTCCTTATTGCAAAATGTGGTCCTGTTGTCCCCCTTCTCAGCTCAAGAATGCATCATAATGCACGGTTTTGCTTCGAATTCATGCACTGTAACTACATAAAATTGATAAAACCTTCAGTCTCGACATCTC